GTATATATATACATACAGGTCTGTCTGTGTTACTATTTATACCTTCTGGATATGAAGATTTATGAGTGAAAGAGTTTTATAGATGTCTTCATGAAAGAAGGTGAGTTGAACAGCATGACACACTGATGCATCTTTTGAAACAAAGACACACTGATGCGTCTTTTGAAACAAACTGTAAGCATAATTTTTATATGCCACCTACTTCTGGCCTATCCTTGTCTCAGTAAACTATGATGCCATTTTCAGTTTCTTGTTAATAGGCACGTGTCCGCATGTGTGACATGGTGGGTGGGGGTGGGGACATCCTTTTCGAATTCGAAAGTAAAAACAACATGATCCTGCACCTCTCTCTCTCTATCTTTGTTCTACAACATTCTGATGGACATGCACAAAATGGCAGAGAATGACTTATGTTTACTCTTTAAGAATCTTTTATATTTCTTCATGAAACTTCCCGAAGGATTTTCTTTCATGCCCTCTCCTTTGCACTACGTGAACCCAAGGGTTTCTTCTTAGTCAAGTACCTCCCAGCTTCAACCAATGCACAGATGTAGGGGGCCAAGATTAGATTCTGAAAACATCAGCTTGAACTTATGCAATTGGTTAAAGAATGGAAATAGTTGATGGTTCTGTTGACAAACTGAAAGTGAGATAACTATATGCACTGGGATATAGGAGGTGCTCTATGTTTTAATTTGATTACTGGTGAAGGGGTGAACAACAATGTGTGCAATTTAGGCAATAATTTCTTGGTGTAGAGATTCTCTGTTTATCATTACTGCCCTTTGCTTCCAAAGTACACTATTTCGTCTGCATTGTCCTTGTTTATGTTCTCCTGAGCAATTACCCACTAAGGGATGCACTTGTATGGCAACTTAGTGTTGTGAAATTGATTCTTCTACAGTTGTCTCATAAGAGAATACCACGTTTCAGATTAAACTTATTTAGCATTTGCTCCCCCCATGTTACTTTCACTCTTACCAAACCTTTTCATAGTAGTTGGAGCTAAATGAGCTTTGTGTTGTTTTAGACATCCTTGTTGAGCTCAACGGAACTATTTTTCATCATCTAGTAAATAATTCCTTTTACTTTTTTTTTTCTCCAATTACTGGGAAGTGGGAACTCTCCCGTATCAGATAGAAACTCTCAACAGGTTTCCCTTTGTATGTTCCTTCCCCAATATCATTTATTTGCAAAAGACACCGTGATAGCCACATGGTGCATTAGTTGGATTGTGTTTCATAAATTGGTTCATTAGTTGGTTTGTGCTGTACAAATTCGTGCATTGAATCTTGAGTTCTACATGAGATCATGCAATGCATATTGTCTTTAGATAGTATAATTTAATATGAGAACTGGAAGCAGTAAAATTCTTTTAATAGCTAAAAGAGACTGCTGCAATCTATCAGCTGCTTTAGCCATCAGTTCAACATTATCATTTTGATTATATGGTCCGAGAACAACTAATATCTTTTGCATTATTTTGGTATGGGATAATCCTTTTTCAGGCATAGGTTCTTCATCTATAAATTCTACCAAATTAACTTGCATATAAAGCACCTGCATGTGTCCTTCAAATACCTAAAACATTGCCAAGTTATTTTTATTCTTAGCTTATAGGAAGAATAATCATACTGGAAACGATACTAATATTCGTACTATATGACATATGGAAAGTATTTTAGGGTAATGATTTTAGTGTGCGAGAGGCATGAGGGAAAATACTTGTACTCTTTCTCTACTATAGTGAAAACCTGCAGTGGCAAGTGGACGTAGCTCTTGCATTAAAGGTGAACAACGATGCATCTGTGGGTTTGCTTGGCTTGGCTTGGCTTGTTTCGATTCTATTCTGTTTCTTACTGTTATTGTAAGAAGGATAAGGGCTTAGTCCATAGCAGCTATTTATTATGATTATGTTGATCTTTTCTATAGCAAGCATCCTGATTCATTTGACATTTCAATTAACATCATTTACCTTTCCCTGAATCAGGAGAATGCCGGATCCGAGAATAACGTAATTGTTGCTGTAAAGCAGGGAAACTTGCTAGCAACTGCTTTTCACCCGGAATTGACTGCCGACACTAGATGGTATACATCTTCTGCCGATGTATTGAACGGCTAATTTACCGTACCTATACTTTGACGTTTTCTTTTCTTGCAGGCATAGTTACTTCTTGAAGATGGTGAGTGACACAAGCGAAGATGCTTCAAGTAGTAGTATCTCCCAATCGACCGAGGATCAAAAAAATTTCAAGCCACAACTATACGACCTTCCTATTTATCAACAACAGTGACGAGAAATAATAATACAAGATCAGACGATAAATTCCTTAATCTCTTCACGTGTTTTTCGTTATCATTATTTATGGTGATGTCTACTTAGGCAGGTATTCAATGTCAGAAAGTCAGTCCATTGCTGACAAATTCAGTAGACCTATTTTAAAGTGGAATGGCAATGTTGGTGTTCTAATATTTGATACAGTGCATGTGAAGCGCTATACTTTTCTTTATTTTCTCTTAGAAAACAGAGGTTTTGCATTAGCCAGTTCACTCCTTTCTGTTTCAGTGTTTTGTGGCTATAAATTTGAATATAATGAAATTTTCATCTCCTAAACTGAAAGCAGGAGACTTTGAGCATGTCCGGCTAAGCTTAAAAGGTCAACTTGTAAGAGTATGTTTTAAAACAATTATGTTATTACTGGTTGAATATAATGAAATTGGACCTGCTATCCATCAAGGCTCCCACAGGATATCCAGCAATGGGGCATGGACCTGAACACCCAGGTCGATCCTACAGCACTGAGCCGGGGGATTTGGTGCGGAACCGTTTATGAAATTCTTATAATAAGAATTATGTAATAAATAAGAATAATATGTGAACAATCATGTCTAGTATATATTGAATAATAATTGATTGTAGTTGAAAATTGTACAATACTCCTATATTTATAGACAAAATTATTTCTTAATCCTATTAATAAAAGGAAACTAATAAAATCCTAATCTAATTGAAAATCATATTCTAATCAATAAATAAAAGAAATTATATCTAAACAAGAAATAAGAATAAAAAAATAAAACATATTAGAACTAGAAATGATAAATCACAATTGTAGTAGGAAACTACTAATCATGATTATGTACTACATCACTTTCATACCACTAAGTTGAGGTATTTGTGAATTTTTGCTAGAGATGAAAGAGGGAGCAAGAAACTGTTCAATTGCCTCTACCCTTTCTTCGTCCAGAGAGTTTTGGCTTCTCTTTTTAACTTTGAGCTACAAAGGGTAACAATCCAATCCCTTGTGCTCACTGTGGCTTCCTGAGAATAAAAGCTGCATATGTAGGCCACAATGAAATATATTTATTTGGATATCTTCACACATTATAGAGTGATTGTGTGTGCAACCGCGTATCTTGAAAGAGAGGCTTGTTGTGCAAAATGCTAAACGCTAAGCAAAGCCATGCATATATGGACAACCGTATAGACGCATCAATCTTGTGGCAGATAATTTTGTAAGATGTTGACTTTAAAATGAGTGATTTGCGGCGTAATCAAGTAAGAGTTAAAGCCATTTTTTTAGATGATTTTGCCCTACTATTTGACAAATACAGTGTTGATAGTAGATAATTGTATGCAAAAATTGACTATTTTTTAAACAGTTCAATGACAGAATGCCATGTGGCATTATGTCGAGGAAGTTGGCAAAATATTCTATTAATGTAGCATGATTGAACGTTTCAAATAGTTAATGACTCGTAAATGAATTTAAGATTAAGCCTCTGTTTGAGAAAAGAAATTATAAAAGAAATTAACATTGCCTTACATTGTACTGCACTTTTTAAAATAGCCACGCAGTTACACCTTAATCCGACGTGACATGTTCGGTAGATAAAATTGAATAGTATTAAACAATATTTAAAAATAATATACTTTCAAGTCCTCTTCACGACTACGTGACAAACACATAGCTCCTAGTTTAGTGGGTTCTTTTTTTTTTTTTTTATGATTTAAGGGATTCCATTTCACACAACATTTTCGTGTGTTTGCGCCTCATTTATTGATAAAATAATTTTTGTAATAGTGATTTTTTTGAAAAATATATGGTTAAAAGTATGAAAATTTTTAGATTTATGTGCGAAGTTATTTTATTGGGAGAATGTGTGGTTGAAAATGAATTTGGGGGAAACTGAGTGTTTTTTATTTTTATTTTATTTATAAATAATGGAGCTCAAAAAGGTCATAAGATTTTAACAAAATTCTATCTTATACATCTTAATGGATTTGTTGACTTTTAAATGGTTTTCTTATGATTGCCTTTTTGGGTCGGATTAAAATCTGATTTTAATCAAAATCAAAATCAAAATCAAACAATCAATATTGATCATATCTTTCATGGGTCCCACATCTTTCAAATGTTTTTATAGAAAATTCAGAATTTGCCATTTAAAAAAATTCAATTTATAAATCATGTAAATAAATATATCAATAAACTAAAAGTCAGTCAATTTTTGAAAAATTGAACAAAATTACAATCTACAAAATCAAGAAAATAATTACTAGCGAATTAAAAATCAATTTAATATGAGAATAAATCATTTTAATTATCCTGTCAAGAATTATATACGTACAAAATATGTAATAAATATTTTATACTTAAAAACATGTTTAGTGAATGGAGTTTTAAAATCAAAATGGACTATTTCATATATCATTCTTAGTTGCCAGAATAAAAATTCAAAATTCAATTCTCGATTTCCAAAGGAATGAAAACTCAATTCCTCAACCCCAATTATCTATCATATGAAATTTGCCGTTTATAGCTGTTTGTTCATGGAAATAAATTAACTCCCATAGATTAAGCCAAACTCCATGGCCATTTTCTCCTAGTTATATAAGTGCCCTCTTGGTCCTCAATTGTGTTAATTCATTTTTCATAGTATCAATTAGCAGATAATCACGGAATAAATTCAAGAATGGTATGAAAAGCGTCCTAGAGATGGCTGCAAGGAGGCTGTGCATTGCATTAGCTCTCCTCCTCCTGTTTGTCTCCATGGAAATCAAAACCATTTTAGCCCCAGGCAGTGGCAATTGCAACGGCAACCAGGGCAACAACAACGGCAATGGCAATGGTAATGGTAATGAGGGCAATGGCAATGAAATAGCAACCGAGGCAATAACAATGGTAAAAAACCTCCAAATGATGCTGCTACAACTAATTATGACGTGCAGCCTAAACTCCCACAGACGGGGCAGGAACGAACATTCTGCAAAGCTCGAGGAGCTTGCTATTACAAAGACCCTCACGTTCCCGGCCCAGTGCCCCTAGAGGAAGCCTAAGAAGAACAAGGGCCAGAAGGGATGTTTTATTGATTGCAGCAAGTGTGAAGTCACTTGCAAGTGTAACTGTGTAAGCCAACCTCTAATTGCCCATTTATAAACCATTCTATTTTAAATCATATTTGAATTGTAGTTGATCCACCTTGTCTAAGAAAAACTTTTAGACAAGGCGACTTAAAATGTAATGGTAACATAGCAAGCAAAAGTTATCGGTTCAACTCTCATTGTCATGCATCTACAAATTTCTTTGGCAGGGAGAAAGCCTATATGCAATGGCTTTGGTTCTCTATGTTACGATCCACCTTTTGTTGGAGGTGTCGTGTTCTACTTCCACGGAGCAAAAGGACATGATTTCGCCTTTGAATAAGACGAAAACCTTCATATCAATGCACGCTTCATCGGTACTAGGCGGGCAGGGAGGACACGAGACTTCACATGGGTTCAAGCCCTCTCAATCATGCTTGACGCTCACACTCTTGTCATTGCAACCAAGAGAATCCCACATTGGGATGACAATATAGACGCCCTTATCTTCAAATGGGATGTAGAGACAAGTGATATTCCCACAGATGGAGAAGCCGAACGCAAATTCCACAGTTGAGAAAGAACGACGACAATCGAGAGACCCGACGATCTTAACATAATAAGAGTGACAGTTGATGGCCTAGTGGAAACGGACATAAGAGTGACTCCTATTGGTGAACAAGAAAGCAAGATTCATAATTATCAAATACCAAAAGATAGTTCTTTTGCTCATTTGGAGTCACAATTTAGGTTCTTCAATTTGTCTGATTTTGTGGAGGGAATGCTTGGTAACTTACGGGCCTGGATATATTAGTCCTATCAAACAAGGTATGCCGATGCCTGTGATGGGTAGGGAAGATAAATATCAAACTCCATCACTCTATTCACCTTCCTGCAATGTTTGCAAATTTCAGAGACCATCTGCTGTTGCTACAATTTGATTGATTTCAATTAATAACTCATTCATCGACATTTTGTCGTCTCTCATTTGTCTATTAATTTTCCATTTGTATGCATTGTTGAATTTATGGCACAGACACAGAGACATAGAAGACACATAATCAAAGGAGTTCGGGGGGCACGAGAAATAAGAAGATACTGCAAACACTATCGTACAAAATATAAAATATTAAAACGGTATTATCTTCTATGAATCAAACCTCACTCACCAAGATATCCAAAATGGTGGACAAAAAACCAACTGCCTATGAATACCCCAATAAGCTGTTCGGTAATGACCAATGACTTCTTAACTATTTTTTACTTTACAATGCTCTATTACTTTCATATTACCTTTTCTCTTCATATACTTGCGGCTTGTTTGAATTCTATTTTTTACTTTCATATTACCTTTCCTCTCAATATACTTACGGCTTGATTGAGTCCTATTTTTTTGAGAAGATCAAACGAAAGAGAACCGCAACCTCTTTTTACTAGTAGGTAGCAAGGTATAGTAGGTGCAGGCTTCCACCACCACTCCCGGCTAGCAAAGTTGAAGAGCTGTATCGGAGTGTGCTAAAAAGTGTTGATTATTTTAAATACGAATTAATTCTTAATCTATAGCTATAGCTAAAACCGAAAATTAATTCTGATTATACAAAACTATTTTGGAACCTATAGCTAAAATCGAAAATCAGACCATAATCTTCCAGTTTTATGTTATAAAATCTAGAAACAATTGAACCTTAATTGGAACCATCAGACCAACTCAGTCTGGTTCCAAACCGATCCAATCCTGTCAAATCTACTAGCTCGGTCATTGTTTTCAATCTGCGAACAATGTCATTAACTTCTTCAATTTACATGTCGACTAGGTAGCAAGATAAAATCTGCCAGCATCCACACTGACTTTCAAGATATACATTATTCTTCCAGATAAAGACTCCCAAAGGTTTACTCCGAGTCTGAATCAACATATATATATGATTTTGGAATTACAGAATGCTGTTGGTGAGGAAATGAAAAGGGACCCTCTGAACTTTTCCAACTGGTCTTGCCCGATTTACAGTCATTTGTATCAGGAAGCAAAGCTGCTGCCAAAAACAAGAGAAAAAAAAATCAATAACAAAGAGGTTATTGTGATAATAATTTAATGAAAGTGATATGCCCGCATAAAGAGGTCCTAGGTTAGAGGGTTAAGAACTTCCTCCCAAGAGTTTGTCAGGCCCATTACCTCGGCCTCCCGGGGAACTTCTAAAATTTGAATCAGTCATCAACTTCATCAAAATACATAGTGCCCGACCTGTGGCAATTTAACGATTGTCGTGACAATGCAATTTTCACATTCATGCTTTCTCTGCCTGAGGCAACAAAAATAAGGTGTCACGTGGCTAAACTTTGACCATTGAAGTCGGTTGGTCAGGATGCTCATCTGACCAAAGTAAAATGTTGGCATGACACTGATAGCTGAGGCTCATACCAACTGTTACCTCCAGTTGAGATGGTCGTCCATATGGCACCATTGCACATACCAACCTGATCTGACAACCCAAATCACCCTAGAATATCGAACTGCCATCCACGCGGAATGTATAAAATACACTCCAGCTTGGAACAATCACCTTGAGGTCAGCAGTTAAGCACTGACAACTTAGAAGACCTTGGATGAGGTAAGAAGTCAGAAATCAAATGGAGCACCACATAGTGGTGCCAAGGGTTAGACAATAGAGCCCAGTTTGACCCAACATATAATTGCATGGCTCAGAAAGCATGATTGTCAATACTGAACTAAAGGAAAGCTGGGTATGGCATGCTTGGGAATTCAAGCATTGCCAGTCAACCAACCAAAGTGCTGTGACCATGAATCCAGGACATGGTCGTCAAACTAAGCCTGCAGGACAGTTCCCAACTCCTATAAAGACCTCCAAGCCACCACTCCAAGTAATTTATTTCGGCATCGGTTTCTATTCAGCCACCTAATTGGCTAATCCTATCTCCCATGACGGGGCTCAAAAAAACAGGTGTTCGTTTTCTATGATTTCTTGCGATTATCAGGTTCACGCTGTTGACCTGAGACGCTCAGCAGATTCTGATGTCAAAACACACGCACGCACGCTACACACACAGAGATAGAGAGAGATTGAACTAATGTAGCATCACATACCAGTGTCTACTAATGAATTCAAAGCACCATCCTTGGATTGCTGACTGGATTTTAAAACATTTGCAGCAGCAGTCTCACCATCATCAGTATGAATACCATTTGAAACGTCGGGATGGTATCTCAACTCAGCCTGCGCCAATGACTCCAATGGCCTTGTGGGGAGAAGCATTTGCAGTGGAGGATCATCACCACTAGTTGCTGAGGCATAATCAGCTAAGCTATCATTCATTTTACAGCATTGAACAGAAGACTCGGGAACAATTGCAGCAGATCCCATAGCAGTATCTGCAGTCAACGAGTAGCCACTAATAGACTTATGACAACTAATAGATCCATACTGCATATCGTTCAACGCATCATAAACATCTGCATCTGAATCAAATAACTGAAAACCAGGGCCTCCCTGACTGCCAGCAGGCAAAGACCAAGTATGCATTCCAAAATCAACATCATTAGAACTGAAAACCCCAAGGCATGAACTTCCACCATTACCAAGAGCAGAATTTCCATGATAAGAATTAGGAATTCCATGCTGAGCAGATGGAAGAGAGACTCCACCAGTGTCTGTCCAATTATTCTTGTAGACATCACGAGAAGTCGGTGGTTCATTTTCTTCTTCTGAATCGCTGAGGACAATGAGTTCAGCATCCAAAAATGCTGAAGATGAATTTGGACCACAAAATCCACATGTTGGATCAATATTCAGAGAAATAGAGTCGAGCTCAATACCATTGTTTGTTGAAAAATTAAAGTTTCCCCCACCATCCTGGATAACACTACCCTCTTCACCGTCTCTGCCACTGACAGTGGCACTACTGTTCATAGGAATAATATTCTGACCATTGTCCCAGAAATTTTCTGGTAATCTATTTGCAGATAGCATACTCTGGGTATCATCAGGTTTGTTGAATTCCCAGCAACCATTTTGGTTTTTCTTCATTCCCAGTTTCAGACCAGCATGATTGTCAGGAAAACCTTCCCGTTTGATTAGTTTTAGTTCTGATTCAAGTTTTGATTCTCCATCAACAGAGGCACAGATAATTCCATCAGGTAAGTGCCATAGTCCAAGATCCCCAAGACCCCTATGATTGCCTTCTGCCTTTGCACGCCAAGAGCCATCAGCCTTTACTTCAATCTCTGCTATATCATCTTCACAATTCTGCATCTGCAAAACATAATACACAAAAATGGTATAAATGAACAGATAAAATAAGAAATTAGGCCGATGCCAAATCATAGTACAGACAATACCTTAGACGTGATCCGATTGAAATATGGATCTATGATAATTTTCTCCAAAGAGTAGTTCTTGAGACAAATAGGGCATTGCCACTGCATCCATGTACAACAATCAAAACATGGCCAAGAGAATGCCAAAACATATAATCAAGTATTAAATTTACTTGCCTTCCTACACTGCTGGTTCATTTCCACAAAAACTTCAAGATCGAAACAGCCCATGTGAACACAAGGCTTAAATCTTCCAGCAACCTTCATTCTTAAGCCACTCATCTAAAGCATTCATGCATAGAATATAATACAAATCAGGTTCCAAGAAATGAGCACGACTGTGCACATTCAGCACTCATGCATTAAGCAAAAATTCCTATCCTTAGAGAATGCCTTAAATGAAACAATTACATCTACTCTACTCCATCTACAAAATTTAAACAAAAACAGTATTTTGGCGTGTGGCGTGAAGAGACATAATCAGTCATTCAGGTGAATTTTTTGAAGAATTCAATGAGTTTTTATCTTTGCAGATATTGATAGTAATAAAAGATAAGCAGACGATCTCTGAGCTGAGCTACCAGTTTCTTACTCAAAATTGACAATACCAAAATTTTCATGGAAGAATTTTGTATTTGAACACAACCAGCACCGAAGAATTACAAGTGACATTAGCATTTTGGTTTAAATTATAGACATACTTTACTACAAGATCGATGCCCATATTTCAAAAGCGAGTAACTATTGAAATCTTAACCATTCTTTTCCAGTCTTCTGAGAAGCTGCTAGAAATTACACACTGCCATTTTCCTAGATAAAATAAGTTTTTTTCTCAATGACTATTGACTAGCATTATTTTCTTTAGGAATACAGTGGCCTGCTGATAGAGATCCTTGAGATATTATTAGAAGACCATTTATGGAAGACTTTCTATAGAAATTAATATAAGATTATTTTACAATTATTTAGATGGATCATCATCATCATCATTATTATTAAGTAGTTTCCATAGTTTGTTAGGGATTTTTAGTACAAGGGTGGTTTCTCATTGTTAAAGTTAGACTTGATTATTGAATAAAGATTATACTTTCTCTGTCTCTCCCTCTCCCTTCTTCTTCTCCCCTTTCTCTCTTCTTCTCTTCCCTTTCCCCTTCTACAATTCTA